TGTATGATGGCTAATTTATTCATTTTCGACAGGCTCAAATTTCTAGTCATGCGTACCTACATCAGAAATATGCCGGTGACGTTTATGCTGCATCTTTCACACGTACGCCGTTTTTTCTGCTCAGCAGGTGCATTCAACCAGCCGATTACTTCGTGCCTGTTGGTATGTCCCTCATTTAGCCTATTTTGATTAGAGCCAAAATATTTCGTGCGACACCAACGGCTTCGCTGTTAAACAATTTGCGATTTAATGTAAAACCGCCTTTTGGTAACTTCGTGTTTAGTTGCAGGACGCTGTAAGCAGCCGTACGAAAAGCGTCAATTCATACGTTTTCCCTGGTGAAACTAACCCCATCTTAACCATCAAGGCGACTAGCATGACGTCGGATGCGGGTATACAGAAGTATACGAGATATAACATGAACACCCGGGGACGGTGTGCACCTTCCGTGGCCTGAAATTGCACTATGTAGAGTTCATGTGGCTTTCAGGTTCATTTTTTAAACGCGGTCTCTGTCGAATGCTTTAGATTTTCTGAAGTAGGGACGCCGTGCATCTGTTAATTTTCGATACACTTAGGTAATAGTATCAACAGATATTGCTTACACTAGCCATTGGCCGCTATAGAAATACTTGTTATTTTTCGCAATGGTATCCAGCAACTTGGTTTGCTGGTATGCAAAAGGAAAATCACCCTCAATATGAAGGAGGAGAAAGAACAATTGACTACAACAAGAGAAGCATTGTGCTGGAGACAAAAAGGCAAGATATGCAACACAAAAGCTCCTATTTTACTTGTCGCACATTAAAACCAACCAGGGGACCTGTTATATCTGACTGCTGTTCCCACGCTGTGGCCTTGTGCCAGAAAAGAACTCAGCAACAACGAGTTTATTCCAGAAAAGCGAATTGGAAAATCACAGGGGCATCAGGCTTTTTAAAGATCAGTTTCTGACTTTGATCCAGGCGTTAAGTGAACTCTGTCAACATCGATCATGCTTGTGTGAAACGTCTAAGTGCTGGTCGAATTCGGTGGTGCTTCTGTGGCGTGCATGAACACTCGTCGGCTTCGCTGAATTGGTTGAATGACTGACTGGTTCAGATGTATATCGGCATACATATTCAGATTTTGACGCAGTTTAAGGGTCTGAGTAGGTGTCGTGCATTCTCGGGTTAATTCCAGGAATCTGACTTTCCTTAAAGTACCAAAATGCCGAAGTACCCGATTGACCACCCCTCAGTCAAGTCGGCGGTTTGGAGCGCGCAAATCTGGACTACTAATGAACACCAGCATGACATTTTGCAGAAGATATAACTGATATGTAATTTCTTTCCTGCTCAGCCTGTCTGTTCATCATAGGGCAATTTCCTAACGGGAGCAGAAAACAGTTACTGAATCCCCGGTGAGTTTTGTGTGGCAAAATGCAATGAAGGCTAGAAATATATTCGTAGGGTCATATAATAAAAATAAAAAAAGCAAGGGCTGGATGGAAGGTCATCACAAACGTCGCTGGATCAAGCAATCAAGAATCATTGTGGGTTTCGAAGCCTCAAGGGCTTTTGAGGATTGCGGCTACCAGTCGATTCACTCACTATCGAAACAAATCTCCCTGCCCGTAAGTCTACACGCATGGGGAGGAATGTAGATTACTTCGACAGGTGGTACAGTGCGTCTCGCAGCTTACAGTGAGTTTACCTGACTTGACATCCAGCGAAATGCAGTTGAATAATGGAACGCTGGTGCATACATAAATATGAATCGTGAAACCCTCAGGTATTAAGGCTGCAAAAGGAATCCTAATTGCGTTACAGACGCCTTACTCCTCTTATTTGGTTGGGTGATACACTACTCGATTTGGCCGACAGTATGTGACATTTAGCAAATATGTGAAATACATATACACGTCTGTATGTAATAACCCCCGACGTCACATAATCGATGCTGATGAATATGATGCTCTGGAAAGAGCGAAAACGAGTTGTACAGCCGCGACATGCGAACCGCAATCAGATAGTGCGACCCATGTACAAATGGATTCATGCATAGACTCCGAGTTTCCCGTGTATTCGTATTAGTGTCCCACACGCTCAAAAAGATTTCACTTCTGCAGTAAGCTTAGGTTACACTTTGTAGCACATACGGGCCTGGGGACATACAAATGTGATTTCTGTCATTTGTGTTTCAAATGGCTGCAAAGTAAGCAGAAACATATGATCGAAGAGCATTGGACTCGCGGGAACCGCTGAGTATTCAGGACTATTGAAACGGAAAATAGTTACATGCCAGACTTGTGAGAAACGCTTACGTTCCGAATCTGCACTAGTGGACCACGTTCGCGTGCACACAGGGGAGAGGCTGTATGCTTGTCAGTTGCGCAAGTGTGCTTTCAAATCTCGTTCAAATTTGAGACGACATTCGAAGCAGCGTGAGCGATGTTTCAAGCACATGTGTCAAAGAATCCACTCACATATAGATAAATCACGATAGATAACCATAATGTGTTTGTTTTGCAACTGAACACCGGTTATGAATATATAATTGTTACAAACATACTTTCATTCGGACTGTTCGCTATTTGATGAGATATGAGGTTTTGGTGTATAGTTATGTGAGTGCGTACGCACGATTTTTCAGCACGTTAGAACAAGATGGTCCAGATCGCGATATATGAGCTATCCACCAGGAAATACAATGCCATTATTGTACGGAGGACTTGCTCAATATACTAACTAATACTATTTATTATCTTTCGGATGGAGATATTTTTTCATGACTGAAGAAAATTAACTGTCGATGGATGTGGTGAATATAGTAAAGATGCCTAGAACTGGCAGCGTTTTGTGAGCCTTTGTTGATGCTTTTTCATTATTCCAAGACTTCAGCTTTTTTCTAATGGACACAAATCATACATTGATGGCAGCACTCATCAGAGGGGGAAGAATGACTGCAATACCAAATGTAAATAACTACTTGCTCAGCATGGATAAAGAGTAGCAAAGTTTACTCAGCAACTATTTAAGGCAGAAGAAAATGTGCACGCTCGGTTCCTAAAAGAATACGCGTAGGACAAGCCTAGGTAACTCTCTAATCGTTTTCGTGCCTGATTGTGTCACCACAATGCAGACTTCGTGCAACCGACGTGGAAAAGTTGCCGTACACTCTTTTTCACCAAGTGAGCAGATTAATTGCGCGCAATCTGCGATAGAGCATGACGATCACCACATTGAAACGCTTAAATTCGGACACGTAGGTTTTATGTACCCACACTCCACGTGCCAGAGGGTATAAGCAAATAAATTTACAGAAGGGTGTTGATAATTTCTTTGATGATCCGCGGTCGGTAAAATGAGTGGTTGGAGATAACAAAATGGTCGTCTATTCCAAGTGAATCTTTCAGATAAAACCGCGTGAAAATCAAGTCATCAACTGAAAGCACATATTCCTTAAACCGCGAAGTCAATACCTTGGCTTAGCCCGCAACTTGTCTACCACAAGTATCAAGCATATACCTAAGTTACTTAAGACAAGTCCTTTATTTCATCGATTGGTGGGGATTGTGCGCGGTAGCTGACGTAGTCACCTACCCACATTTGCTGCATAATTACCTTACTACTGAATGCCTGTGTTTGCAGTTTTTGTTGTTATTTGAGCTGGCTTGAGGCGTTGACCGTGCAAATGTGCTTCCGCTGGGTGGGACAAACTTTCGATTGCTCCACCAAAACAGGCCAATAGAAAGGTCCAAGCACATAACCATTCGGTCGCGTACTTTGACTTAGTGTAGTTTAGAGTACGTTCGACCTCTGTGATGACACCAAGGCGACTCTAGTTTTCGACGAGTATTTGCGGATTAGTGAAGATACTAATACTATCGACTACCCATGGCAATTCAACAAACTGTTCGCATACCAGCTTGTGTCCGGCGACATTCTGATAACAATTCTACAAAGAGCTGGTAATTTGGGTTATTTACGAGAAATCTCCTCTCTGTATTTCGAAGTGATGGCCTCAATAAATTTGGAACGCACACTGAGTATTTCAAACAAATCATCATGATGCATTTTAGCAGAGGTTGAGAATCGTGGTAACACACGCACTTTGCCAAAGAATCAAGGCAAAATAATGAATAACAGACGCAAACCGCGCTAATTTGTACTGCTGCAAGGTGGTTCTTCGGTGGTCTAGCAGATATAGAACAGAGCTTTTTATATTCACCAAATCACGGGGCAGGTTTTGGCCTAACAGTACTTTCAACCTGAATTCCTTAACTGTTTTAATATTTTGATTTCCATTCCTTGCCCGAAACAATGAATTTGCCCAGTTTCATCACAGCTTTTCCCATTAAGGCTGCGCATCACCATTTTCCTAGCCTTCGAATATTGTTTGCAATGAAACTTGGATATCCATTTCTCCGTTTATCACTACACGACATTCGCCATATACACAATGCGTTTGGCGTATCTAAGCACCCGTGATTTGTCGAATTCAACTTCCACAAGTATTGTTTCACCTCCATTCAGAATTTGGGCAGGCATCAAACGAAACAACCCTAGAAAATTGCACCTGAGGTCACTATTTCCGCTTGCAAAGGTTTCAATTTTACGCGGGCAACGGAAAAAATATTTCCAAGAAATAGATGAGACTTCTGTCTAGGAAAGGGTCCCTGCAAAGACACCAGTGCAGTTAGCTCGGATAATATTGAAATTTTGTGAGAATTAAGTTCCGGACGTATATCGGGATAACCAGACGAACCAGAAGTTCAGAATTCAGTGTGGCATAACAAATAGCACGTATGTATTCGAATAGGCGTATATATACAGCATATGGGGTATTAAAACAAGAGAATAATAAATAGAGCAATGAATAGAGTATCAGTCATGTTAATCACATGCGCCACACCTTGACTGAGCGTATGGATGTTTATAGTCCAGTGGTGTTCTTGATCGTAATCTTTGGATCTCCTCGGAATGGAAAATTCAGACTCTACACAGGTTGCGTGATCTTCAGATACAACGTTTGGTTCGGATACCATAAGATCATCTACAAAAGATTCATTAGTGTTTGAAACAGCAGGAGTGCTGTTAACAAACTCCCCTGTGGTATTGAACTAAACCTGGTCGATGTGTCTCCGGTGACAAGATAGGTCATTCTACTCGAGAATTCTGACCATCCGTTTGCCATTTAATGAAAGTACTTTTCCTGTAGCAGGTCGTAAATCATTACCCTTGAAAAATGTAACGTCAGTCGTTTTGGCACAGTTAAGACTTGTGCAAAACGAACGAGATTTAAATAGGAGCGCGGGACTCTTCCCAGTAACGGAATAAACGGCGTTCCTGTGTTGCATTAGAAAATTATCAATCCCATGGTCCATTTCCACAAAAGTAGTAGGAGAGAGTGGAATAATTGCAGACTTTAGTTTTCGGACAGAATTCTCAGCAATTCCTTCGACTGGGGATGTCGTGGAGCAGTAAATACATGTCGACATCCAAGACCCTTCAACCATTCCTCGAGGAATTTTGCAGTGAAATGTGTGCCGTTATCACTGACCAAAAACGTCGGTGTTGCAACTTCATAGATATTTAAAATTACCTCCGATCTTGAATGACTGTCTTCCCGGTTAACAATTCAAATGGAACGCCCTTTTCGGACTGGTGGAATTGAACCCTATTTCAGTTTTACAAGACGTCTATGTTTTCCGTTTTCGTTACCGCGCACATCGTTTTCGCCGCTTTGATTATACTATTTTTGTACCAAAACCTTGGGCAGCTACATATTGTTCTAATTCATGAGTTTTAGACGTGGTTTCGGTCACGCGTTGACTGTTGATCCATATAGGCTTTGCTTGCCTTTTGGAGTACCTCACCCTTTGTCGAAAACCGTTGAAGTTTGTAATTTTGTATTCCGTGTAACTACTTCCATTTTTATAGTACAGCACATTTGTGTAGACATTCGTTCGGAGTTCTGCCTTGGTGATCGATGCTCAATAATTCGAAACGGTCTTTACAGTCGGTACATCTTCATGGCTTAATATTTTCCTCTGTGCTTGCTGAGTGAATTCGGCACTTGGAGACGTAGTTGATCCAACCTGAACAATAGAAGCGTAGTATTTACCGGGAAAAGGACCAAAGCAGTCAGCATGAACTAGTTGAAATGCCTCAAGTTGGAATGCCACAAGTAACTGGTCACGGATACCACTGTGAAGATTCATTGTGAATCTTATGTACACATTTAACACAATTCTTAGCAGCGATGTTCATCACAAATTCATACTGAGTTCATATTATGAGATAGTTGATTGAACCGACCGTCAACATGGTTGCAGCTTCTGTTGTTGAATGGCAAGCATGTTGGCTATGGTAACCTTTTTATTAGCTGTTATCATTGTTGCGTGGAAATTTTAAGCGGATGACCACGGGTCCGTCCGTAACATCGTTCACGTGGTCGTGCGATCTGAAATATCCTGTTTATACTTTTGGTGGGTGACGATTTTAGTGGAAATGCCATTCGATGCGACATGAAAACCAGTCAACACATTATTATACTTATCCCTAGATTTTTTTACAAATGCGTCCTATCCGAAAGAGATGGAGAATGTGGTAATTATTGGGACTAACCAATGGCATGTTTCCATGTCAAGCCGCTACAACTACAGACATTTTGGCAACCAACTAAAGTAGACAAGTGATATTGGTTAATTCCAGGATCTGCCTGACATTCGAGGCAGTAGATTGATTTCTAAGGAACGATGTTCCTTTGTCAGAATAATTATATGTTTCGTGTACGTCTTGAAGAAACATCCTTACCAGGTTTACATGCAATCACCCTTAGTACGTACCAATCAACTTACAAGAGTATCAGTAACAAGGGTTGTAAATTTGCAACAATGCGGTTTGAGATTTTGGTGACATCTTTACCAATAAACCCAAGGAACCTTTCGGAGTTGCCGAAATATCTCATATCGCCATTAATGTTTGGCTAGTTGGGAGGCCGTATATTGCTGCAAGATGTGCGACACGTTCAACTGAGGAGTCTCCACTAGAGGAACTTCTCAATACATGACTTTGCGGGGCCGTTTTCATTATTCAAAGACACGTTCTGCTGGCTTTAGCTTACCTCAAATATGACCACACTGTGGCGAAGCGTTCAAACATCGGGCAGCTTCTCAGAAAACCGTAAGATATGCCGAAGATATGCCCGTAAGATGCCTAAGGAGAATAATTCTAAGCGAAAATGATTTCATGTAGAGAATATCTTCAGTGAAAAAATGAACCCACACCATTTTCAGTTAAGGCAACCTAGAATTTCCAACCACAATAGGGACCACGATGAGTCTGATAAGGATTTAATCTGTGGACTTCTGTATTCACAGGGCTACATAATTCTGTTGAACTGCGAACGTGTACTTCTTACGGTGTGTTCCCTGTTGCTTCCGTTCATATGTCACCTCCGGTGGATAGTTCTTGGAGACGCAAAATAGCCGTAATGCGGCCCGAGTGGTGTACAGTCACACAGAGCTCGGCGCCCCATTCAAACCTACAACAGCCCCATATGAACAGGGACAGTTGTGTTATTATACTGCGTTTCAGCACATTTTATCTTGCCACATTTTCCAAAGCGCCCACCGAAGTGAAGATGTGGTATGAATCAGATCCAACTAATCAGATGAACAAGTGGACTCTTCATCTTGAATTTTCACCGAAAACATCATTGTATGTTTTGTATTCTCAATGACACAGTTGTGCCATAAAATAGAACGACGAAAATGTGATGAATAACCCACCGTTTTTCCCGTTGATCGTATGCACGGTATTGAGTTTTGCAAATAGGAAAGTTGTAAACAGCATGCGGACCTTATATTCACAACTTTAGTACGTGCTGCAAGGTTCAAGTGAAGCTATTTCATACAACGGTACTGCAAGCCTGTCCAATCACTATAATCCCGGATACCACCCACTCAAATAGCGGAGGTTTCAGACGGCTGGTCAGGATTTGCCCGTGTGTCCTAAACATCGAGACAATACTCGTCCACAGAAGTTTCAGAACTTTCTCCGGGTGTGAGGAAACTTGTCAGAGGAACTTGGACATATATTAGTGATCTGTGTTTATCATTATTCATCTGTCCATTTGTGCCAAAAAAAACTTCTGCCATGAACTGCTTACTGTGCACGCATAGTGCTGCAAAGTTATTGTAGTGAAAATTTTCGTCAAAGACTTGCTTGCTTAGAAAGTGTTTGAATAAAACACTATCCAAAAACGTTCATGGTCCCACCAATCCTATGATGTACGTAGGGCACATAAGAGTGAATTACGTTATATCACTGAGAAACTGCAAATGACCTCGGGGCTGAGGTAATAATGTCTCAGCATTTGACGTTTGCTGTTTGCATTTAACTGATTTCATTTCTGCAGCCGTTTGACTTGAGATGAACCTCGTCAGCTTACGCTTACGTCATTTGAAATGGCAGATGTGAATATCTCCGTCACTCAAGATGCCCAGTACACTTAGTTCTACCAGCATATACATTCTGAACTAGCTATTTTGTGGAAACTGTAATATCACATTATCTCCAACGGCGAACAAAACGTTGCAAATATCTGAAGGGTCGAAGTACATTTCGACTCACGATCAACAGCGGCTGATCCGCCGAATGAACGCATCATCCGTTCTGGATTCAAGCATGAGAACGCAGCATCGATTAGCTTAAAGAGTTGGATCATTTAGTCGCGTAGATGCCTCCTTTGATGCTGTGATTATAG